ATGGATGAGGGAAACGAGAGTGAACATCCATCCTGGGTAAAATTCCCACAAAACCCTCCCATGGTCGGCTGGAGGCGAGGTAAGTCTCTAAAGGACCACCTTGTTAGAGCAGCTGTGCGGGAAGATCATCTCAACCGAACTGGGGGAGAGGACCAGCCCCAGGTTACAGTTCAAAGAAATGAAACTTACAGACCCTAACCTAACCTGACACAGGTTTGGTGTGCGGCCTGCGTGGAGGCGGAGTATACGGAGTGATTAAGAGGGGCCTACAAGTTCCAGCCCTCACAAGACTGCTCCAGTCCTCATAAGACTGCTCCAGTCCTCATAAGATTGCTCCAGTCCTCATAAGACTGCTCCAGCCCTCACAATACTGCTACAGCACTCCCAGGACTGCTTCAGCACTTCCAAGACTGCTCAAGCACTCACAAGACTGCTCCAGCCATTCGCAAGACTGCTCCAGCCCTCACAAGACTGCTCCAGCCCTCACAAAACGGCTCAAGCTCTCAAAATACTGCTCCAGCCCCTCACAACACTGTTCCAGCCCTCACAAGACTGCTCCAGCCCTCACTAGACTGCTCCAGCACTCCCAAGACTGCTCCAGCACTCCCAAGACTTCTCCAGCACTCCCAAGACTTCTCCAGCACTCACAAGACTGCTCCAGCCCTCACAAGACTGCTCCAGCCCTCACAAGACTGCTCCAGCCCTCACAAAACTGCTCCAGCTCTCAAAAGACTCCTCCAGCCCCTCACAACACTGTTCCAGCCCTCACAAGACTGCTCAAGTCCTCACTAGACTGCTCCAGCACTCCCAAGACTGCTCCAGCACTCCCAAGACTTCTCCAGCACTCCCAAGACTTCTCCAGCACTCACAAGACTGCTCCAGACACTCACAAGACTGCTCCAGCCCTCGCGAGACTGATCCAGCACTCACAAGACTGCTCCAGCCCTCGCTAGAATGCTCCAGCCCTCACAAGACTGCTCCAGTCCTCACTAGACTGCTCTAGCCCTCACTAGACTGCCCCAGCCCTCACAAGACTGCTCCAGCCCTCGCTAGAATGCTCCAGTCCTCACAAGACTGCTCCAGTCCTCACTAGACTGCTCCAGCACTCCCAAGACTGCTCTAGCACTTCCAAGACTGTTCCAGCCCTCACAAGACTGCTCCAGCCCTCAACTTAATTGAGGTACTGACAACCATGGGGAATGGACCTCCAAAACCAGTCCAGATTCCCGGTGGAGGAGATTTCAGCAAATTCAACTTCAATAATAAACGGATAAACTGGGAGCAAATAAACCAGGACTTCACAGAAATAAACTGGGAAGAACAGCTAGGAAATGCAAACCTGAACCAGTGCCTGGAAAAAATAAGCTCAGTTGCACTAGAAATATGTTCAAACCGCATACCTCTAAGAAAAAAGAGAAAGAGATGCAGATTGGAACGGGAACGTCGTTCCTTATATAGGCGAAGAAAACGAATCGCGGAACAACTTGAGAGTCGCACCCTATCTCAAGAACGGCGAAGAAGGTTAGGTAGAGAAATAGAAACAATTGAACTCAAGCTACAAGAATCATACAAAACCCAGGAGAGGCAACGAGAGCCAAAGGCCATCAGTGAAATAGAGAGAAATCCGAAATATTTTTTCTCCTATGCAAAATCAAGATCAAAAACCACATCTAGTATCGGGCCCCTGCGAAAGGGAGATGGAACTTTCACAGATGACAACAAAGAAATGAGCGAGTTACTAAGGAAGCAGTACGACTCTGTTTTCAGTGAGCCATTAAATGCACTAAAGATTGATAACCCAAATGAATTTTTCATGGATATTATACCAACATCAAATCACATATCAGACGTCGCCCTATCCCCACTAGATTTTGAAGAAGCCATAAACAGTATGCCTATGCACTCTGCACCAGGCCCGGATTCTTGGAACTCCATATTCATCAAGAACTGTAAAAAACCACTATCGCAGGCCCTTCACATTCTGTGGAGACAAAGCCTAGATACTGGCGTTATCCCTGACATACTAAAAACAGCAGAGATAGCACCACTCCATAAAGGAGGAAATAAGGCAGAGGCAAAAAATTACAGACCGATAGCACTAACATCGCACATCATAAAATTTTTTGAGAGAGTGCTAAGAAGTAAGATCACAAAATACATGGAATCACAGCATCTCCATAACCCCGGACAACATGGTTTCAGAACAGGGCGCTCTTGCCTGTCGCAGTTGCTGGACCACTATGATATGGCATTAGATGCTATGGAAGACAAACAAAACGCTGATGTAATTTACACAGATTTCGCAAAAGCTTTTGATAAATGTGACCATGGTGTTATTGCACATAAAATGCGTTCAAAAGGAATTACCGGGAAAATAGGCAGATGGATCTACAATTTCCTGACTGACAGAACCCAATGTGTAATAGTCAACAAAATAAAATCCAGCCCATCAACCGTGAAGAGCTCAGTCCCCCAGGGTACTGTGCTTGCTCCAGTACTTTTTCTCATCCTCATATCGGACATAGACCAGAACACAACCTATAGCACTGTATCATCCTTTGCAGATGACACTAGGATTTTCATGAGAGTTGGCAACATAGAGGACACGGCAAACCTCCAATCAGATGTTGATCAGGTCTTTCTATGGGCTACAGAAAATAATATGGTATTCAACGAGGATAAGTTCCAGCTCATGCGCTACGGAAAAATTGAAAACATAAAAACAGGAACCACGTACAAAACGCAGGCAAATCATAACATAGAACGAAAAGGCAATGTAAAGGACCTGGGTGTACTCATGTCGGAAGATCTTACCTTTAAAGAACACAATAAAGTAGCCGTCACAACTGCAAGAAAAATGACAGGTTGGATAACAAGAACTTTTCACACTAGAGATGCTATACCGATGATGATACTTTTCAAAACGCTTGTGCTATCTAGAGTGGAGTACTGCTGCACAATGACAGCCCCTTTCAAAGCTGGAGAAATTGCTGACCTAGAGAGCGTGCAGAGATCCTTTACTGCTAGAATCCACTCAGTAAAACATCTAAATTACTGGGACCGACTAAAGAGCCTAAATCTGTACTCCCTTGAGCGCAGGCGGGAGAGATACATAATAATTTACACGTGGAAAATAATTGAGGGGCTGGTCCCAAACCTGCACACAGAAATAACACCACATGAGACCAGAAGACATGGCAGGATGTGCAGAATACCCCCGTTGAAAAGCAGAGGTGCAACAGGTACTCTGAGAGAGAACGCTATCAACATCAGAGGCCCGAGACTGTTCAACACGCTTCCACTACACATAAGGGGCATAACTGGCAAACCCCTCACAGTGTTCAAGAGAGAACTGGATAAGCACCTCCAAAGGATACCTGATCAACCAGGCTGTGACTCATACGTCAGGCTGCGAGCAGCCGCGTCTAACAGCCTGGTTGATCAGTCCAGCAACCAGGAGGCCTGGTCGACGACCGGGCCGCGGGGACACTAAGCCCCGGAAGCACCTCAAGGTAGCCTCAAGGTAGGCAGCCCTCTCTAACCTGCTCCAGCACTCACAAGATTGATCCAGCCTCACAAGACTGGTCTAGCATTCCCAAGACTGCTCCAGCACTTCCAGGACTGCTCAGGCACTCTCAAGACTGCTCCAGACACTCACAAGACTGCTCCAGCCCTCGCTAGACTGCTCCGGCACTCACAAGACTGCTCCAGACACTCACAAGACTGCTCCAGCCCTCGCTAGACTGACCCAGCACTCACAAGACTGCTCCAGCACTCACAAGACTAATCCAGCCCTCACAAGACTGCTACAGGCCTCACACGACTGCTCCAGCCCCTCAAAAGACTGCTCCAGCCCCCTCAACTACACTGTTCCAGCCCTCACTAGAATGCTCCAGCACTCCCAAGACTGCTCCAGTCCTCACTAGACTGCTCCAGGCATTCGCAAGACTGCTCCAGACCTCACAAGACTGCTCCAGCCCTCTCTAAACTGCTCCAGCACTCGCTAGACTGCTCCAGCACTAACAAGACTGCTCCAGCCCTCACAAGACTGCTCCAGCCCTCACTAGACTGATCCAGCCCTCACAAGACTGCTCCAGCCCTCTCTAAACTCCTCCAGGACTCTCAAGACTGCTCCAGCCCTCACAAGACTGTTCCAGCCCTCACAAGACTGCTCGAGCCCTCAATAGTCTGCTTCAGCCCTCACAAGACTGCTCCAGCCCTCACAAGACTGCCCCAGCCCTCCCAAGACTGCTCCAGCCCTCAATAGTCTGCTTCAGCCCTCACAAGACTGCTTCAACCCTCATAAGTCTGCTTCAGCCCTCACAAGACTGCTCCAGCACTCACAAGAGTGCTCCAGCCCTCGCAACACTGCTCAAGTCCTCACAAGACTGCTCCAGCCCTCGCAAGACTGCTCCAGCCCTCACAAGACTGCTCCAGCCCTCACAAGATTGCTC